AGGGGCAGGCCTCCCAAAAGGTCTTGGCAAACCAGCTGTTTAGATAAGCCCCGTTACCTCCCCAGAATAATAATTCCTCCACACGAGACTGAGTAAACAAACAGAGTGTAAAGAGAAGTTAGCACCATCTTGTTTTATTCTTGGAGACAAACTAAGAAAAGTGTCTGCACGACAGGAAGATAGAATCATATCATGATCAAATCTTGTGTCTCCCTCCCCTGTTGCATGTTGACATCTGGACACTAAGGGGACTGTTGGGTATACACAGTGTATGAGCAATAAATAAACAAAGGGGGGCCCGGCCTTGAAAAGCCATACACCTGTGACCAGTGCAAAAGCAGCAGGCGCAGCAGTGTTCATTAAAGAAGCCGGTCCTGACAGTGAGGCATTTAAGAGGCCATCAGGAGCGACAACTCAGCAGCTACCTTGGGACCGGAGAGGGAAAGGCGTCAAGGTGAGCAATGCAATTTCAGCTTGAATAATGGAGCACTTTCCTCAGGTCTGACATTCATGTATTTCTCAGGCAGTTTTGCCATACAGCCCAACAGCACCTGTGAGCTATTCAATGTTCCCCAGGAAAAACTGGTTGACAATGTCTACACATTCACAATTACTCTGTGCCTGGCTGCTGGTCTGCAGATAATCTTGCTCAAAGTGGTTCATGAATTAAAAATAGCACCAAATATATCAAATCTAATGATATGAAAATTTAGATTTTGGATGCTATGCAGTACGGACATGACACGCAGCAGATAACAACATCTAGATTCTGTTCTTTTTGTCTGAAACAACTCTTAAAAATAATTTCATCAAGGCAAATTATTCTCACTTTTCCGTTGGATTCACCAGCCAGATTCCATTTTCACGGAGTTGGTGATGTAAACTCGTAATAACAGAGGATTAATTTACAAGGAGGCAAAATCCCCTGGTGAGACTTGTGGCCCAGAACAATAATGAGCACATAGTAAACAGACATTTGCCGTAAGCCAAAAGAGAATGCAGAGGCACCTGATCTACACACTGAAACACACAATGTACACTGATGCATACACAGTCACACGCGTACAAGCACAACCACACCCTCACACAAACACACACAAACAAACACACAGGCAGAGGAAATGATGGCAAACTATCTTCCCCAGGCCTCTGTAACAACATATGTTTTCAGGTAATTAAAAGAAGAACCCAAGCGGTTATCATGTCATACTGAAATACAATGCGTAGAGCAAATTACCATTCTGTGGTTATTTATACAAAGCCGGGTGCACAAGGTCACACTGCTTTGGTGAACTGTGAGCATAGATGAGAAGTGTTTGTGGCCTCGTGCTGTGGTTTGGACTAATTATAATGCTAAGGTCAAAGTGCTATGTAATGTCTGATACTTAGTATGTACTATGTGTGTGTGTGGGTGTGACTGTATCATTTGAGTGATAGCTATTAGTAATTGTATTTAACCCAAGCACATAAGTTAAACTTTTGACTGAGAGCAAAACTAATTTAAGCAGTTAGTCTGTTTGCAAGTTGCATTTGGAGAACGTGCAAGAACCGATCAACAAAACAATGTTTTTAATAATCTAATCTAAGTGACCATTAGGGCGTCCTTCGCATGTTATCCTTAAGGCTGTCCATTCTCAGATTTGTCAGGTTTGATCCTTCACTTGAAAAAGTCCAACTGAGAGCACAGTATTATGTATTTTGTTAAACCTGGAAGTAAAGCGCCATACTGTTCAACACCAGTGTCTGAGCGACTTTAGGCTACTTCCTAGTGTTCTCCAGCACCGCTTTCTCTTAAACTGTGAAAGGATGTGAAATCTAACAGATAGTTTGCACTTCACACATTCTCTGTTGTTGAATCCTTCAAAACAGCTGGAGAAAGGAATCAGGAACTTTCTCTACAAACTTGCGAATCTGTTCCTGCATACTTATAAAGCTTTTGTTTTTCAATGATTACCACTTTCAAATGTTTTGTGCTCACTCTATAGTATGGCCAATACGTTAACAGAATTATGTTTCATATATTACATTTGTAACCATGTTTCTGTCACTGATGTGTTTACAAACAGTTATTGCAGTTACAGTTAAACAGCAGAAAAGGAACAACATTAGTATTCATTTGGGGATGCATTTCTAGGGCCGATATTCAGTCCTTTTAATTCACTGACAAGTCCTGAGGGAAATATCTGGCTTTGTATCTGCTAAATGTTCCATTATGTTCACCTGCTAACTTTATCTGTCAGGTTCTTATGCTGTGTCTCAGTTTGAATACTTCCATACTTACACCCTGTTCATATAGGCCGCCTGAGGAGCGTGTGGCGTCTCCGGCGCGTGACGGCTGCTGACACGCTCTCGATGTGAACGCCACGAGCGTGTCAGCTGCATGGCTGCTGCAGAGCTGCTGCTGCCAGCCCTATGCTTCACTATACACTTTTCCCTGTATAATGTCCATGAAAAACCGAAATGTTCATATAATTTAATTTACAATGTAATATAATTTAAACTTAAATGTGAAGGAAGCAGTCATGTGTGGTTTGTTTATCCGAGAGAGACAGAGAGAGGGCGAGAGCACAGTGGAAAGATACTCTTCATCCGGCTCACTTTCACAAGTAAAGTCATGTTAAATAAAAGATTACTACAGTGCTTTTACTTTGAAAAGGAAGTTTAAACTGTACTGAATGGCTCGCGGTAAAAATAGGTAAGTCCTCAACTCTCTAGTGATGCGTCGCTGCAGACGCAGTTGAGACGCAGTGTGGGGCAGTGTGACCGCTCTAATCTGGTAACATGAACACCAAAATAAAAATCAAGACGTTCCACCAAGCACATACTAGACGCGGGCGGTGTGAACAAGCCATTTTACTATCTATCTAACACTGTCAAAATGCAGTGCACTGCAGTCCATCCAGGGATGGTTCGCTCATAATGGTCAAAAAGTTGAGTGTGGAATGGTGGACGCTCCTGACACTCAGTGGTCGCCATTTTCACTACGTTGCGGTAGGGGATAGACCACTGGAACATACCGGTACATTTTCCATGAGTCGGAGGAGTACACAATGTCGTCACATCTTTGTGACCAATAATTCTATAATTATAGTGATTGCTCCTCTCTAAACTCTTCATCAAGCTGCTTAAGAGATACCAAAGAAAGAAAAAATAGCTATGCTAAGCTAGCTAACTAATGTATCTTCGCTCTCTGTCGCTAAAAGTTGAAGATCGATTGGCATATTATTGGTTGAAATTGATTAGTTCATACTCATGTAAGCATGCGTCACATTTTATTTTATATTGTTTTTTGATATAAAAATACATACAATATAACTGAGGATGAAATCTTAAAGGGTTAAAATGACGTTTCTCATTTCACCCGGACTTTAAAACAGATATATTCCACATGTTCAAGGACTCTGACAGAAGCACAATACTTCTCACCAGAATGCTCATGTTTGTCCTCAAATAAAAAAATACAACGCCCACACAACTGTTTTCTAAAATGAATGATGTACTCTCCCTTTGGCTTCAGATGCAGTGCTCTGATGCCCAGAGTCTATATATGTAGGTGCCAGATGCTTCTTAGGATTAGCTGGTGAGTCAAGAAGCGTCTTGCTGTGTTGCACCCAACACCCGTTCACCACACAAGGTCTTGGCTGCCACATTGATGCAGGAAAACTAATCCGTCCATCCATCAATCCATCTCTTTATCTTCAGAGTAGTCCCTAGATAGTTTTTCTGGGGATACATACCTGAGTTTTACCATTCCTCTGTGTCTGAGGGAGCTTCCTTCCCATCTGACAGACAGGTGATTCTCCTTTGAAGTGGCTCCATCTTACTTGCTGATGTGGAGGCCAGAGAATGAGCCTCCCCCTCAAGACCCCATTAAAGCAAAACCCAGGGTCCGCAGGTTTGATATTCATTGCCTGGGCAACCTCTGCCATCAACACATTTTGTGCCACGTGAGAATGATCACAGCTTATTAAAGTGGAAATAATGACTGCTCTACCTCCGGCATGAAATATTTAACAAGGACAAAGGAGATGGCTCAAAGGTGATTCATATCTGTGTTGAAAGGGGAGAATGTGGACAATACAGGAAGTGCAGATGAACCCTGGTTAACCTGAGCTTAGAACAGACAGTCTGCAATTGGAATTTGTATCTAAATGGAAGGACAAATAGAAAAATAATGGCATAATGGCAAAGATATTGGTATAACAGCAAGCAACATCTTGCAGGATACATTTCCCTCCATTTACCTCATGGTGTTTACAGTAAACAAGAAGCAGCTTTCAGCTTTGAAATGTACAGTATGTACTCGTTTTTAACAATCATTTCATTGTAATAATTTTTTCTCTTTCGCAACTGTGCTCAGAACCTATAGAGCTTCCAATTTCTGGATGTGAAATTATTGATGTATTTTTCCTTCTAGCTCGGGTAAATTAGCTTTTTTGGCCCCCTGGGAAAGAAGCAGAGTGAAAATGTTCTCCATCAAGAGTGATTGAATTGGATTTTACAAGATGAATTGCCAGGACAAGAGTTTATCCCAATTACATTGCCAAGAGGTTTCAGTCCTGCTGCAGCCACTCTGGTCAACAGCAATTAGGGTCAGCTTTGAGTTATCAGGATCCGTACAATGTGAGCAGAAAGTAGATAAATGCAACAGGCCAACATTTGCAACAGTAAAAAAGCGGTTTGTGGTCTGGACCAAGAATTCATGAAATTACAGATCTGACAGCCAAAACACGAGCAGAGCAAAACACAGCTGTCTTTTCTGTAGCCCACACATCTTTTAATCTAGCAGAATACAATAGAGACTTCAGGGACTGCCTCTGGCTCTTTGTGTGGCCGTCCATTTTCCTTACTTGAGTTTCTTTTTCTTTGATGTAACCTGTATGATTTGCTGATGTGGAGACTCAGGGTGTCTTTCATCTGTCTCTCATCAAGACCACACTTACCACAGACTGGCAATAAGGCTGATGACTTGCCAACAATGAGGTGATATTTAGTCTTACCTTCCCCAGACTGGGGCTCCACAGATATCTCAGGCTGAAAATGCAGAGAGCCAAAACGAGGAAGACCAGAGCCAGAACCAGAGCCACTCGCTGGTAGGTGTGGTACTTGGCCTTCTTCTCCTTTCCCACCTCAACCTGCAAATAATTCAGTTCAATATCATGTATGGTATATATATATGACCCAAATAACCATAACAATTACACCTCACAGCCTAACTGATGAATATATATAGTATATATATAGTAAGAATAGTTTGACATTTCGCTTTTTTGTCAAGAGTTAGATGAGAATATTGATACCACTCATATCTGTTATCTATGAAAGCCTATTTCTGCCAATGGGATGAAAAGAAGTCTATTTTAAGTCATTATAATGAGAAACCTCAAAATAAAGACTTAGTGTCTCTAAATAATCTAAATCGCAATATCATTTAATGTGGTCAAAACGGAAAAGTCAGTAAATCAGTCTGCACTGATTTATGAATGAATGGGAGTTATTCTTACATATATAGCTGCTTTGTAATGTATCAAAAGCTTTTTATCAGTTCATGAAACCCCTGCAGCAGGACTGATATGTTGATAGATCCATAGTCTCTTAGGTGTCGCACCAGAGCACCATGCTGTTTCACACATACCTGCAAGTTTAACAATCGGTGGTAGGTAACCTAACTCAACCCCCTGTATTATTGCCAGTTGGTAAGCTTTAGAGGTGGTTCTGGACAGAGCCAGGCTAGTTGTTTCCCTCAGTTTCCAGTCTTTATGCTAAACTAAGCTGCCCTCTGACCTCCTTGGAAGACATTGCCTATACACCAGGGCTAAACAGGGCCAAGAAGATCCTGTCTGACCCATCCCACCCAGGCGATGGCCTCTTCAATCTCCTGCCCTCTGGGAAACGATACAGGGTATTGGGGAGCAGGACAAACCGGCTTAGAAGCACCTTCTATCCATTGGCAATCAGATTTTTGAACACCTTTGACCGTTTCTTTAAACAATCATTTAAACTTCTTTTCTGCAAAATGAATGAATTTGTGAACAAAACACAGCACCGTAGCTGGAGAATTCATCCAAAAACAAATGTTAATTGATTTAGTTGTTGATTACTTTTCCAGGTTTCTCAACAGTGGAATTTCTAGCTTTTACTCGCCATTAGCGTAGATAGGCTTGTATTGTTATTTATTTTTTATTATCAAAGAATCAAACATTCTCTGCAGTTGTTCATCTTTTGTACCGATGATTCAACCAGGAGAGTTTTATGTCCATCCAAGCTGAAGTGCTCCAACTATGAGTCATGTATCATTGTCTAAGGGAAAAACGAACAGGGATTTTTCATCCAAATCAAGGGTCACCTGAAATAGTTCCTCCCACTTCGCAACTCAGTTTAATGGAGCTATGTGAGAGCAATATCAATATTGTCATCTAAATTTTTAGCAAGCAATGTTTCCCAAAATGCCCAGCTATTGCTTTAATTTACCATTTTCATGTTTAAATGTATATTTCCTTTCCTTATATTTCCATATTCCTTTTAATCTAGAGATGCCATTTGATTAGGTCACTTTACAAAATGCATCTACCTGTGAAGCTACTGAAGACAAAAATATAATCATCCCCATGCCAAGCACATTGAAGAACAGACTGCTACAAGTGCCAGAGAAAGGTTATGTTCATTAAACTTTTCCTCAAATGAAAACTCTGCCCGCTGTAGTCAATTCCCCAAGCTTAAGGCCACAAATTAATAAAGACAGGCTTTTGTTCCACCACAGCTCCAGCAGGGAGAGAATGAACGATTCTCATTCACACTGGACCACTTTTGAAGGTCTCAAAGGACAACAGAAAAGCAGATATGTAAAAACAAAAAAAACAAAAAACAGAACCAACTTTAATTAGGGAAATTGGTGTTGCTTATCTTCGTGTCTTTTAAAATGATGATAAAGCAGCTTTGGTTTTCTATTGTGGCTGAGGTTGTTACAGTAGTTAAGCTGCAGTAGATTAACATGCTGACTTCTTTAAATAATTTGTAGTAATTATTTTTGAATAATAGTGTGATTTTTGTCACCTTTGGACTTATTATGTTAAAATAATTATCCAAAATAGTCCAGAATAATTATATGTAGCCTTTTTAGAATGTTTTTTGCAAAGTACAGTGTGTAGGTGGTATGATGTACAGGAGGAAATATGATTTTGCAATTATGGCATACAGTGTGCTTGTTGAATATGGATTGAATATCTTATTCCTGGTAAATGCATCAGCAGCACGACTTTGGGGGAGAACAGAGGACACATTATTCAAGAAAGCCCCCCTAAAACCTTACACCAAACCATTGCCATAAATTAATCCTGCATTGTTACCATTCTTTATTTGACACATCAGAGACAGTAGCCAGAGAAATATGAGGCTCAAAGTACTGTACATTCCTAAAGCATGATGAAAAATAGAGGGCTACAATCAAAGGGCCAGAAATTCCTTACATTGTGAATTTCTCAGACTGAAGAAAAAACTGGCTAAAATCCTCCGCTCTCCAGTGGGAGGTTGCATAAGCAGTGGAAACTTAACTAGAGGACAAACCTCTCTCTGCCTGTGCTTTGAATATCGAATACTCAGAGGAAGGAGGTGGGCTTGAGAGACAGATAGACAGACAGACATACAGGCAGACAGAAATAAAGGCAAGGATGGAGAAAGAGTGAGCAGTCTGAGTGTGCAGTACCCGCCAACCAGTGTTTAAAGGTTTAGGAGTTCAGAATCAGCCAGGCAGTTCCTCTTGAGCTTTGTGAGGAAGAGTGCCCGGAGCCCCCTGCTGTTATCATGCAAAGAAAGAGCACTTCTTCAAGAAAACAACAGAAAAAAACCCCCAGAAGTAGCCTATATAACCAAAAGCAGAGGCAGTGGTTTATCGCAGTGGGGGATGCTCATGTAAGCATTTTAATGCCTGTGAAAAGTATTCTGAAATAAGGAGCCACAGGTGATTTTTAAAATAATAATCATTATCCATCCATCACTTACTTTATACTGTATATAATATATATAAGATATTATAGTGAGTTTCTGGTGGAACAGTTGCACTTTCTTTGATGGACAGTAAAAGAGCTTACTTTTTCATATACAAAAAGATAATAATATTGTGCAGTGAAGTTACTTGCCCCCATTGCTCTATTGTTCACACATTCTGCAACAAGTATGAGAGGAGGCCCCCCAATAAAGTCTCAAATAAAGACAATTCTTGGTGTATATTTGAATGCTGCTTACATGTGAGAAGCAAGGATATTCTAGATATAAAGCAAATACAGTGGTTCAGGTGAGACTGAGTGGAAATGAAGAAAGAAAGCCAAGGTGAAAAGCCAAAAGGAATTAGATGGAAAAATTACTATTCTGGGAAAACTCGGATCACTCAGCAAGAGATCAAGCAGCTCTCCTTTTTGATTTAGAGAAAAAATCACACTTCTGACATATTTCACTTAAAGCTTACGCTCAAATATCACAGGATTTTCCCCCCTTCTCTTTTAAACTATCACTGATGCCCCCTGCACTTAATTTATTGAGCTGTAAAAGTTTAAGGGTGCTCCCTTTTTCTTTACACTGCGTGACCTAATTCTACAAAGTATTCATAAAGACACTACACTTTTGGAATTTATTTTCAATTGTTTTGTTCAATTAATATAAGTGCAATAAATCAAACCTATAAAGGACAAAATTGGACTCACATCTTTCCACAAAATCTGTTGACTGCTGGATTGACTGCTGGTCTCCATGATGCAAGCCCACAGAAGGAATCTTTCCGATCGTCTCAGCTGGGGAAAATACTAACGCTCTGCAAGGCAAAGAGCCCTAGCTTCATTCCATTGCTGTAATTTGGGAGTGTGCTGAAGGGGAGGGAAGTTTCAGATGGAGTGGAATTACTGAAACATTTGTGATACCCATTAAAAGCAAGGCAGATGTCCCTCCTGCCTGCCTGCTGCTTCCATTTCAAAGATGGGAAGCCACAAATGGATACAGCCTGAAAGACAAACCCTCTGCTGAATAACATAACACACTATACTTGAATAAAAATACAGTAGTGATTCACCCCTTTCAAAAGATTCCTGCTTGGAGGACACAAAGTTTGTATGTGAAAAAAAAATATTGTACCTACATAATGCAGATTTTGATCTTTTCAGTTATATTGTCTGAAGTACCAGAAAGAGTTCAAGCACCTTCTTTCTACTTTTGTTCCCCAGTCAGTAAGTCTGCACACTTGACTACAAACAATAAATAAGAACTGAGATGACGGAATAGCAGCAAAACAGGAGATTCAAACTTATGAAATGAAAAGAATTTGCACTTGTGCACACACAGACATGAAAGAGGAATGAAGCAAATACTGTAACCTGAAGACCTGAGGAAGCTCAAAGTTCCCCTCCAGACATGTTTTAAGAGATACAAAAATACTCTCCTTGAAATAATAATGTGTGCCTGAAAAAAGTTAAACTATCTCATTGAAAATCTTAAATTTACATCTGTGCAAATATTGCTCAGTCTTATAGTTTAACGGCTGGATGCAAGATGTGTCCTACTTCACTGAAAGGTCCACTCTCAGTGTACAGTATGTGTGCATGAGGCTTCAAGTTTCCACATCACACTCGTGTAAGTTGCATAACAGACAATTACTGGGTCCCAAACTAGTTATGATGTTGGAAAATCCTGCTCTTGCATGCAAGATTACAAGGTTATTTAACATTAACATTTTACAAAGCAACCCTGCTTTAATAATATAATTCAGGTCATAGTTATCTTTATGCTACTTGTAAAATAAAATATATACAAACATATATAAAGGGATTTAATAAGTCATTAAACTAAAAACTAAAGAACTATTTTACATATTGAAGTGCTGAGGATGAATTTTGCAGTCTCACAGCCTGAGGGAAGAAGCTGTCTTTAAGTCTGGTGGCACGGCAGCGGAAGCTTCTGCGCCTCTTCCCAGATGGCAGCAGGGTGAACAGGCTGTGGCTGGGGTGGGTGCTGTTTTTTAGTATCCTTTTAGCTCTGTGCAGTCACCTCACCTCACCAATATCACTGATGCTGGGTAGATAGATTTTAATTACTCTCTGCAGAGTATTCCTGTCCTGGGCCGTGCACATCCCATGCCAGTTTGTGATCCATGTTTCCATTCCGGATGCTTTCTATCGCTCTTCTGTAAAAGTTGACAAGGACTTGGCACGGGAATTTTACTTTCTTACGCTTCCTCAAGAAATTCAGTAGTTTCTGTGCTTTCTTAAAAAGTGTGGAGATGTGACATGGGGATGACAGCTTCTCTGTGATGTTGATACCCAGGAACCTAAAATTGTTCACCTGCTCCACCTCAGCTCCACTAATATAAACAGGAATGTGTTTTGTTTTTTTAAATCAACAATCAGCCCTTTGGTTTTGCTGATGTTGAGCAGTGGGTTGTTTTCTGTGCATCACTCAGCAAGAGTGTTGATTATTATCATTATATTATATATTAATCTCATATTAAACTAAGATTTAAGCATTTTTGAGAAACTCCAGCAGATGGATGTGAAAACAGCCCTCTAGTGTCAAACTGAGGGGCTGTTCCTCATCATCACAAACTGCCATGAAATTGTATGGCAATGCGGTTGTGTCTGCAATAAAAACTACTTTCAAGGGGCAAGTAAAAACACAAGTTGATGATTTAAAAACTCTAATGTTCGAACTCAGTGACACGTGGGTTTCTTTATGTGTCATCCTAGCTGCGACTCCATTGTGGGAAGCCTCTCAGTTGTTGTTGTTATTTTAATGCAATTAATATTGAACCAGTTTTAGGGCATCACAAGGGAGGGGTTAAATAACACATGCAGTAACTGAAGCTCCTCAAATATTGGCACCCTCTGAACTTAATACAGCCTTTGGCAAGCTTAATAATGCCATCCAGTGGCACCCAGTTATGTCTCTCCTCCAGACAGTGCACCATTAATAGTTTTTGAAAATGTCACAGTGACTCAGGGAAGTTGTGATCGCACCTGCAGTTACGTACTTTCCTCTTTGGTCAGAACTGCGTTGGAAAAGTTAACCTTGTTGTATTTTTGTTTGGTTTGTTTGGGTTCATATTATTCAGCTTTAGGTGACCTCTGACTTGTAAACATCTGCTGTGTGGAGTCACGAATAGCTTCTTTGTTTTTTAGTAACCCGTCAGTCTGAAAGTCAAGGTTTGTTTTCAGCCTCTCCACATTTAACAGCACAGTATAATAGACTATTCTGCACTCTGTACTGCAATCCATCTGTGCTGGAAGTGAGTGAAGTCAGATAACAAAGACTGGGAGAGAGAGATTATGATAATGACATATGATGAAAAGTCTGTCGTCGGGGTATAGTGCTGGCGTGGCTGCTGTTTCCTGTAAATTATCTCCTCAGGTGCTACCAGTAACATACATATGCAAAAGAACTAAAAACTCACCAGCCAGGATAATTTTCCAACCCTATTGCTATATGAGAACAGCAGTATAGGAAAGAAGAAGAACTCTTTTGATGCCAATCCAATGCCATTGTCTTTAAAATGTTGGGTTTTGAGTCTGGGTTGGGATAGTATAAATGATAGTTGAAGCAGTAGTGTAGTGCAGGGTATACAGAGTTACCCACTTATTTTTCACTCAGCATTGGGTTAGGGAAAGATCGTGCTTATGGTTAGTAAAAAGTCAGATTCCTTTACATTCTGCCTGACTAGGACACACTTAGGCTGAAGTCTCCATTGTTTCTTTCTGTTGTGCTGGGCTTCTCTGTGAGTTACTGCTGGTTAGCTATATGTCAACAACTAAAGCCCTGTAAAACCTTTGAGTTTTGTGCTATGTAGCCATTACGGTCTCATTCCTGGGACTACAACAAGCAATTTCAGATGGTCTATTAGGTATAGTTATGGTTATTTTGTGCCACTGTAGTTCAAATGTGTCACTCTCCCACATGGATCAAACTGAAGGAGCAAACATTCCCAAGTTCAGAAGAAAGCTAATACCCGTTGAGAGGGAACACTTCAAAAACGCATGTTGTGACTTAATAGACTATTCAGTATGAATACTAGATTTAGCAGATGAATATTTAAAATTTACTCTAAAGATTATGTGGTAACACTTTACAATAAGGTAAAAGAAATACAAATCATTGATGAATTGCTAAAAAGCAGTTTTCCTGAATGACTGTAATTGAGGACAAATAGGTAGTCATAACTTAACTACAGGCTTTGAGATACTATGTTAATAAAACATTATGTACTAATGATAATGTTGATGGTTAACTAAGCTGTTTCCCATATTACTGTTATCAAAATGCATTTAATATGGATTGATTATGGTAGTTTAGTAAGTATTACTTTTCCGATTAAGATTTTATATTTTTATGCTCTTTGTCTTATGATCTTTTACACAGTGTCTGGTTGGGGCCCCTCGTCACATTTCAGATGTCTGTGAATTGTTAGCAGTTCCACCGACATTTACCTACTGAACTTCTCAATTTAGCTAACTGTTTAAATCAATCAAAAGTTAAAAAAATAATAAATACAAATTTGTGTATCAGAACTTTTTTTTTTCTGTTTTCCTGCCCCATTACAACCGCTCAGATTTATCTTGTGACCCTTTTGAGGGGACTCAATCCCTAAATTGGGAACCACCGGACTAAACAAACAGTATTTAAACTAGTTAAATTAAAGTTAATTTTCATATTATTGTACTGGTCCTTTAACTCGAGTAAAGGACTTCTGATACTGCTGCATTGTTGTAAAGTTTTAGTCAGTGTGTCATCTTTATTATTATATCACCACAGCACTTTTCTGACATACCACACTCAATAGCTGACAGTATCTTTACAGCACGCCACCTGTTTTAAGACATGGAAAATACACAATGCACATTTAATTTTATCTCAGCATATCTTGTGACAAGGATTGAAGGGTACAGTATCAAAGCACAACTGCATTCAGCCTTTTTATACAAACCACCTGTCAGTTTCTTTTTCATATCATCTGAGATGGCACACATAGCAAAAGCTAAATAGTGAGATAAATGTTTTGAAGTGATTCCAGTTTATTAGAAACACAATTTCACAACCTAAAAGTTCCACTTCACACTCGATTTACAGAAGTGAAAAACGACGGCTCGGTCAATACCGTCTGAGGTGGAACATTCCGGGTGAAATTGGTCAACCTGCAAGCCTTTAGTGTGGCAGGCAACATTTGAGCACATATTAAGTCTGTCAGATCTGATAGCTGTGCGACCTCGTCAGCTCTTTCCCATTGATATAAATCTTCACAATTACTGTGACATTTTGCTTGGGTAAATCAAGTGGCGGGTCTTTCAGGAATAGTGTTGTGTCAGCAGCCGAGCTGAACATCCTGGGACCCTCATTCCCCCGATAGCATTCAGCGGCAGGCTGGGGCTTTGACACCTGCAGAATAGAATAAACAGCAATTTAGTTTGGAGTGCATACCAGATACTCACAGATTACAGCAGAGGTTGATGGGAGCAGCCTTAGCAAACCAGGAAGAATCACAAAATAAACATTTACTCTATCCTCTTCATGCTTCAGGCCTGATAGCTTTGATAGGAATTTTTCTCTTTTGTATTTGTCACTTTTGCAAACACAGATTGAGCACAGCGAGGCCCATTACAAATCCAACAGACCAAGTTGGATCCAGTGAGGGTTTTTTAATATATATATACATATACGGTTTTCCATCAGACAACAGTAGTTCTGCTCAAAATGACTTGTAGTACTGCAGGCAGGCACTGCCTCCGCAAACTTGCAGAGTATATTTTG